CTCATCTACTGGTCACGATACTTCTCACGACAAACCTTCTAAGCTTCCATAACGTTTTTAATGGCACAATTATTCTGGACGGATGATTAAACCAATCACCTGTTTTCATATTGGCTCGGAAAGCGACGTGCCTTCAGTAGCTCTACACTATTCGTTTTCTAGTAACTGTATCAACTGATCTTTTTGTACGGAAATTACCATGCATCAGATACACTTCTCGAATGATGCTGCTTACTTTAGTGCAAAAGATACTTTAAGTCTATGTATAAATACTGCCATTTGGACCACTAACCGTTTCAACGTCTATTTCCATCCACCGCAGCAAGTATTCCCGGTGGAATTAATCTGTTACCCTTGAACGTAACATGGTTACCCGGAGATCCGTTGATTCAGACACTCACTTTGGTCATATAGCTGGATACCTTACCGATACTCCAGGCTGTATATATGGGTCCCTTTTGGTTAGTGAAATCAACTACTTAAGAACTTTCAATGAACGGACGGTTGTATTACCGAGTAACAGACCATGTAGATTGACTCGCAAGTTCGACTGGTTACAAGGAAAACTTCGGACATTGTGCGCTTTTGTTACTAATGGTGGAACCTATCTGTGTGATGGGGAATGAAAACCCATGCCTGTCCCATGAACCACAGCAACTTTTAACAAGATTATGCACATCGATGAGTTGATATGTGAATTATTGAATACAAAATGCTATCCTCTAAACCTTCAAGAATTTTTAATTTCATGATACCTGCACCTCTCATGTTAAATCCATCATATGAGGATAAGGATCATTATTATCTAAACTTTGACGCCTTGTATACGCTGAAAAGTGATATTTTTCGTTTGTTTCGTAACTAGCAGGATCTTCTGATGTTTTCGATGTGGTGTAATGGCATACCGTATGTACCATTGGAGATTCGTAATCTTGTAGATTTTTCAGCATATGTCAGTGTGATGATGCCCGCAAACTGGCCCCCCTCATGCTGAATCACTACTTTAAAAATAAAACATTTACATTTGCACACAATATGTACCACTGCTCTACCATAGTGTTGCTTGCGACACAAGTTGAAGGTGAGGCAAATCAGCTTTCTGTATATGTGGTGGTGTCATGCCTAAGCCCGTAGTTGCTACTTAAATCACGCCAGTGGCATTTATCTTCTCTGTCTGTATCTCCAAAAGCCTCTGACTGACTTCGGTGTCGAACGTTTTGCAGTTCCAGGAACATCGGTTCACAGGCTTAGTGTGGTGGCGAGATACAAACCCGGTTTTTTGTTAATGCGAAGGCGATACTTCCAATGGTCCAACTCGCAAATTTTTGCATGCTTATTGTGCTGGGATGTTCCATTATGTGAACACGCGGCAGTTATGTATTCTGATGGCAATAGGCGGCGATTGAGATTGCCTTACATGAAGACGCATGCAATTTATATAAAAACCTATCCATACCTGCGAAATTGGTGTGTGCCTGTAAATTCAGGGTAAAAGTCATAACTATTATATCCTATAATGATATGATCAATGCTGCCTGTTGCGGGGGGCCTGATGAAGTCATCTCTCGGGATTGCAGCCCACGTCAGAGGGGGCTTGATTATTTCTCTGTAAAGTTACGGGCCACGCATTCTCGGTAAGTTCAACTTCATAAAGAAGACTAAGGAGTAGACCTCTAGTGCAATCATCGCTCATGCTACGTGTGCAGTCTGCGGAATTGACTTCAGGAAGATTGAGATCCCTCAAAATCATGTAATGTTCGCTGTCTACGTTGGGAGGTAGACGCACGCGACCTTTGTGCTGACATTTTGAATATGGTGTCCCATATTTTACCCTCTCTGGGCAACTTATATGACTTCAACTTGAACGTTGAAGTCATAGATGCTGATGCAGGCAACCATGGTAATTCCTTAAGAGGGTCGAATTCTCGGAGGTGGAATCCGTAGGCTTCAAAAAATGACCCACGAAACCTCCACGGCCCCTCTTTCACTAATTCATTGCTGCAAGGCAGAAGTCCTCGGAATAGCAAGTCCTTGATCTTGGCACCATAAGTTAGATGCGAACTTACCACCCCAATCAATTCATGTGGTTCACCAGTTTTGATAATAGTCCCGAAGCACTTTTGTGGAAGTGGTTAATGCGTGTTACTTGCAATGCATTTAGCTGCCTTTTCCCTGTGTCCTGCGTTGTATGAGAGATCAAAACCACTGACTGACCTACCTTCAACCAGCTGGTGACCAGGCTCCTGCCTTCTCTCCTCTTTTTGGTGGATGGCAGTCTACCGATGAAACAACTGGTTCCCCGTTGTTTTGGCTTTTTAGGAACCGTCACCTTCTGACCTTCTTGATGCACGTGGAAGACAGATTCTGTTGGTCCAGGGAGCTTCCGATTTGGCTGACACCACAGAAGCAACCTTGGTTCGGGGTCTTCATCAATTTAGGCCACCCATGTCAGCCTCATGCGATTACTCATTAAAGTTCATGTTTGTTCCGAAAGGTTTTCACTCCTGTTTGTGCTGGCGTGACTCAACCATCCTCATATTTCCGAGAAGTTCTTGGACTATTCCCCTCCCACTCCAAAATTAGGCTCCTCGACACTTACCTTTATGCTCCTTGAGCTTCATGTGCTTAGAATGCAAAAAATAGAATTTTGAGGGAGTTGTGGGGATTTGAAAATATTTCAAGTTGTTATTCGCTGTAGAATAACATTAGCCGGAGAAACAAGGGAAATCTGGGGCACTGAGCAGCTGTTCCATCCTAGTATGGGACTATTCAGCAGTGCATACCCGAAACAGCTGTCCAGTGCTCCCAGGTTTCCTTTGTTCCTCCACCTGATTTCGACCTATGATGAATAAAAACTTGAAATAGAGAAATGCTGACAGGTTGCACAGACCCTGCGACTGTGAAAACGAAAGCATATATACCGCATTATTTGAACACGCTTCCTGAAATAGTATAAATTTCAAGTTGATTTCTAGACATCAGTATTTCTGAAGTTAACTTGACAGCTGGTTGTGATCCCCAGAGCTTCGACGAGATTATCTGCGATTATCTGACCCGTAAACCTCCTCATCGTAATTCAGCAACTCAAGATATACTTTCAGTGGATTTCGTATTCTGTCTGATTTATTTGGCTCGAAAATGCAGATAACTGCGCGTCTTTGGGGCCAATGCAAAAATTAAGAGCTATCACTCACGTAAATTCACAGGCTGAAAACCCATTTTAGCCACAAACATCTCACAGTGTGATAAGACTAGCGAAAACATATTTCCCGCCGATAGCGGGTCCTCAGAAAACCAAGTGATATGCGCAAATGTCTTGCTGATGATAGGACCGTCCGCCACGTTTCTAATCGTCGGAGCTAGATCCACATCTGAATTGAACGAATACTTCCTTCAAGCTGAAGCACATTGGCATTTCATAGCACGCTGGGTCGACATGAAACTTTCCAGTTTGATCCGGTTTCAAAATCTGCCGGCAGACGACTTTCGACTTATAGTTTACGGTTATTCTTCTGTATGCGGAGATACCATACTTCTGTGGAAACGTCGATGTACAGTCATTCGTCCTTCCGCGGCTGTTCCCTAAACAGGAATCTCCCACGTCTTCAGTAGGAAGAAAAGGGCTCTCACAAACTGGTTCGTATAATTATTCGGAATCTGTTATCGATGAAATCAGCTTGCGCAACTTTGACCGATTCTGGAGCTGCAAAGAGGTTCGAACTCCGTGGGAGCTATATGATTTTACCCACTGTTGTCCCACATGTAAACTTCTGCTTCTAGAATGTGGCTGATTCTAGCTACCGTTCATCTCCGAAAGGAAGCTTTATCCAGTGATAGCTTCTTTCACCTAATAGGCACTTTGTCCCTAATTCACCTTCCTGAGTTGCATTGCCTTGGGGTTCTTTCACTGACTTATGTAACAACACTATATGGTATGCTGTATAGGAGAGTTGACGGCCGGTCCCGCAAGGGAAATCATGGTCTCCGAGCAGATGTGGGGGCCCAAGAATTTTTAAGTACTGTGCACTTCAGCAAAATCTCTTGTCGCGGCTGCACGAACTGGTACAAATGCCATCTCGGGTAGAACACAAATTTTCATTGGGTTCGATGTGATGAGTAGGGGCAACATGTAGGTGGGATATACTGTTTATCTCGTGTCATCATCTCTTTACGTAAAGTTTTCCGTGGCATGGAGCTACCACTGAGGAGGTTAGCCGCCAGAGTGAAGTGTAGTGGCTGACTAATTAGGCTATCCGTGCTTGGTTGAGGGTCCTGGATTTTGAATACTGTCTAATGTAGTAAAAGGTATTCACGCCCAGTCAGCATTGCATAAAGTACATGGCTGGCTTGTACAGAATCACAATTATTGCTCGACGTCTTCATAAAAGTCCGAACATTTTCGCACTGAGGCAAACTAATTGCATCTGATTGGAAAACAAATTGAATGGAGAGAACGAGTCTTTTTACATTGACATTAACTGATTTATTGTTGTCAGAATAAGTATCAAGGTGGCTACCCTAAGTTTTCTGCTTACTCTTCTTCTGCACTGAACTATTTTTCACCTCTTTTCATGCTTACAGGAGAAGCCGTTTTTAGAATCAACCTAGCATCCTAACCGTCGTAAGCCTTATTTCTGAAGTGTCGATTTTGTTTCAGGTACACTTGTTGTTTCCTGGCATCGTTTGACTGTCCTTACCGATGGCTTACTGATATGACAACTTCTGTCTTGGTCACTGTCGCTCCTGAAAGTTGGGATAAACCAAACCACATGTATTCACAAGAGGCATAGAAAAAGGGTGATCCAATTCATTGGTGAGACTGTTTAAGATTGAAGTGATAGCATCTGCTAGTATGTATAGGTTACTGATGGAATATAAGTTTTTAATGCTCTTAAGCGTCAGGACTGGTGGGCTGGTGAGTGAACACTGAGCTCAGTACGACAATATAATGAGTGCATACTATATTTTGTTTAAGTTTTCCGTTTTCCCATGGTCAGTTTACTGATTTTAATGTCATCTTTTAAACTCCGGAAAAGTCCGGGAATATGCAGCTGGTTGTTCATAGGGGAAAACATGCCTCATTTGCCATTGCTGTCACATTCGCATTTCTTGCAGCGATTTTTAATGTAGTCGGCTTTGTGTCCCCATTCTGGATTGTCTCGAAATCAGGATCAAACGTTGGTTTTCAAAGACTAGGCTTGTGGGAGGTTTGTTTCGACAATTTCATCTTTCCGGAAGACTATGTATCAAAGGCTTACCAGGGATGTTGGTATATTTACTATCCAGAATATAAATATATCAGATTTTGGCTGAATCCACGTGAGTATAACTAGAATACGGTAGTACAATAAATTCACAATGTAACGAAGCAGACTATAGTAATTATTCTTATGAATCACATGGCTTATCTAAGGTTCTCTTCTATTTTTGTTTGTTTACCAGACGTCTGTGCATTAGGAGTACGTTAACTTTGGTTTTGATTCCCAAATAATTAAAGAGAATTCTCCATTTAATTATCCAAATACATACCTAACCGCTTCAAATTTGCATACTGTCTTTCACTTTATTATCCAGCCAGTGTTTTAAACAATAGGCTTTGAAACATTCATTCTTAAAGACCTGGGCATTTTTCCGGAAGTCCCGTAAGCCTCCACAAACATTCATAAACAATAGCTTTAAACTCTGAAATACTCTAAAGAGTGCATAGAATTTACCAAATTTTCCAACTTCACTAGTGATTTTAAGAAGCACTTTTCAAGTTCGACAAAAATTGAGCTAAACGTGTTTGCTGGAGGGTATATTGGTCAAGTGGATATATTCGTTTACTACTTTTTAACTTACTGCAAAAAACTATTGGTGAGCTTAATTCAGAGACAAATTTATATTTCTAAAACGTGTTTATTGACTGTGTTGCTTTCATGTACGATCCCTCGGAAAAGTTGGAATGTGATCGAAAACCTTGCGCATATTGGTGCATGAGACAATGGGTGATACTTCCTGTGTAAAGGCTAGTGATACGGTCTGTTTGTTTAGACCTCGGTAGGTGGAGGTAGGTTAGAAACGGTAATCCATCTGTTGGAATCTAAGGGCTTGTACTAGCAAGCCATAGACTGATAATGCTATATATGGAATGAATATTCACTCGAGAACATGAAAAAGTAGGTGACTTTTGGGTTAGATTTTATTGTTGGTCTACTTTTGCTACCATAAAAACTTGAGTGGGTCTAATTGTTTTCACAACCTTAAGAAATAAGAGCAATCTGCATTTCAGAAAAAAGCGTTACCCTGATTTTTAGATGGTAATATCTTTATTTTAGTTACTGTTAGCGGATGTGTACATCTGAAGTACCATGCTGTATATCATTTTATCGTGTAGATAAATGACTTTTGGTTGTTGTCCGTTCTAATTATTTTCTTGCAAGTTCCTTTTTAAATTCCATTCAAAGAATCTTATCAAAACAGGTACCTTAGTATCAGTCTTATCTCAACCCTTTCTCAGAATTTACGTTTACTATAGAACACGCGTAGAGACATTATATTTCGATTGCAGAATTTCTACATTTTCTCCTGTGAATTGTTTCTAAACTGATACATGTAGCTTAGGTATTCAAGCAGTTTGATCAGGTTGACATTTCTAGATGGATGAATAAAATAATGAAGTTTTCTATTATTGCTATTGATTTCGTTTCACTCGGGCTTTAAAAAAGTACAATAAGTTACTAAGGGAAAGTTAGAGTCAAATAATCCGTTTAGTAAGTGTTATGATACAGAAACTTGTTAATCGTATACTGGTTTGTGTATTGATTATTAAGATGTTACTTCAGTTTTAGTTGAACGATTCGCTTGTTTCTTTTGGCATGGTTAGAAGAATTTGAATAGTTTAGGCGCACTGCTATTCTTTATCTTTGTCACTTGATCAGTGGTGATAATGTGAGGTTGATTGGTGATTTCATCGGGGTAAAGCTTATCTTCCGCTTATCTGTTACTCATTTTTCTTTGGCTTCTATAAAGTTAATTGAAAACAGCAATGCATGTATCATGCTTAGATGTCATGCCGTCACTATGCCGCCGTGAAGTATTTGTTATGAATCACTTTCCAACACTTATGGCATTGTATATATAGATAATATTTCCTTCGTTGGTTTGAAGGTCTTAAAATGAGATGTCGACTCTAGTGTCATACCCATAATACTGCATGTTTTCAAGCACGCGGTAATCGTTGTTATTGATTACCTCTAGGAGATCTTTCATATCTCAATGTTGGGTTAGTACTCTGCCCTGCGAAAATGAACGTATGAAATCAAAAACAATGTCTGTTTTTCGGGCCGAAGTTCTATTTCTGTTTCTATTTGACGTGGAAAGTATATAATAATCTTCCATATGTTTCTTTGTCTAGATAATAATGGTGTATTTTGCACGGGTGACTTCTGTTTATCGCTAACAATCATAATATATGTGTGTATATGAGCGAAACGTTGTAGAATTCTAATAGTTCAGTAACTGTAGGCTTGGAAACTCTGACTTCTGTTAATTAAACAGACTACCTTTCACTTGGAGTGATACAAGTTAATCCTCTAATAGTCGACCTTACGGTAAGTGTTCGCCTCAGAAAGCTAGCATTATCATGGAAAGGTATTAAATTGACAAGCTTGAAGGTAGTTTCAGTCAAATTTCCTTTAGTCAGGACCATTTCTTGTTATGGTTGTTTTATTCACTTTAAAGTAGTCTATTTCATATGAGATTTATATTGAATGAGAGGATACTGCACTATGCATTTCTATTGAAATAATGCCAAAACAGTATTTGTGTTTGCAATGCGCAGGCCATCTAGCATTTTCAGTTTTTCAATTAAATAGCCTAGCTTTAAACTAAAGAGGTACGCATTTCACGATAATCAAAGTTCTGACCGTTGACAATTTATAACCAGCATTTAAGTATGCTCCATATTATCACAAAGTGAAAAAAGTGTTTTGTCTGTGACGTTATTCACAAACTATTTTTAGTTACAAATCTTTCTACTGTGTTGTTTAGGAGATAACTGTAATGTAGGCTTCAATACCATCTGACGGCTATAAAGTGAGTAATGTAACACGTTTTTGAGGTTTAAGCAAGGTTCAACCTGAGAACACCTTTATTTCATAATGTTTAACAGAAAATACCTAATCAAATGCACTACCAAGTGTATTGGAACGGATCAGAATAACCTAATAGTTGTTTTCGTCGCTAAAAAATTTGATCCACTGGTTACAAATAAATGCATCTTTAAAGTGTCGGAAGGACAGTTATTAATCATTATTTTTGTTTGAAGTATTTTATGAAACTAAAAAATATTTCCTATTAAGTTGGTTATTGTTTCGTATTCACTAGATGTTCTAATAATTTACCAATAAATATTTATATTTCGATTATCATCAGCCATAGTGAATGAAAAGTGGACGAAATCGTTAAAAGAGTTTAGAGGTCAACTATTCATAGATAGCATAGTTATTCAGCATGAAACAACGAAGACTGAGAAGAGTTAGGTGACAATGATTCTATACAATTGTCAGAAAATCCAACACCACAAGTTACCCAAGCGAAATAGAAGGTCGACCGAAAATAGAGTTTCCTATAAAAGTGGATAGAAATGAATTATAAAAACAGGAAGTTTCTAAGCATCTTGACAGGATCCTTGAAATAAATGACTTCACATGATTCTGTTGAAGTTGTTTTGCCTGCTTAGATGTTGAGGTTTGGTGAGAAAGATCCCTAAACCTAGATTTGTTGCATATTTTTGTTCATTGCCAGGCTATATTCACAACAGTGAGTTAACTGACAAACACTAAGTGCTGTAAAAGTAGGTAATGTCCAAAATTTAACCAGCAAGCAAAAGCTTGTTAATATCTGTTTTTAATTTTTGGTACTTGAGGTGTGAAAATAGGTAGTTAAAAATTGTGACGTAGTGAGGAATGAAACTCATATATTTTAGTGTTTATTTTGTATATTTTTAGCTTGGTTCTATTTTGTGCAAATTTTGTCAATTATTAGTTTGATTTGTAATCTGGCCGGACTTTTGATGATAGTTCTTATTATATGCGAAGTATATGGAACCAAAGAACGAAAACCACATTTTATTATAATGGGGCTGCAGTCTGTTGCTCGTAAGTATTTTGTATTACCAAGTGTATCATTAATATTATAGTCCTTGCTTTTCAAAGCATGTGAATCATGATTTAAGATTTCGTCAAAATGTATTGAATTGAGATTTTGTATGATTTCCTAGTTTTTTACCGTCGACGCGCATCTTCCAATGAAATGTTTGTCAAAATAGTTGTTTTGCTGCAACTCACCACCAATTAGAAAAGTTAGAGTTAGACTGGACAGAATCATTTACATGATTCTGCTCTTGTTTTCAGCAGATGCGTAAGTTCTACTGAAGAATAAGGCTATACAGTGGATTTTAAACCCTGTTGAACGTTACGTAGAGAGAGCGACTTATCAGTATGATTGAAATTTACAATAATTAAGGTTTGGGATCTGGAATAAAGAGCTGCATTCAGTTGTGTCTACACACTATTTGTTTGGTAGATTTTACTGTACTGGTGTCCGAGTGATAGCTGCTACTTTGAGGGGTAATCGGGTCTGCATATCACTATGACCCAATAGGCTATGCTAGTGAAGAAATTGTTCTCTTAAGATCCATCCCATCATGCTACAAAGGCTTGTTGGGTAGTGATAGGACAGAAGCTGGTTACTGGTATATTGCTGATTAATAACTTGTAGGGGGAACATAGAGGGTGAATGGAAGTTTCACAACAATAGGGTGTTTTCTGCGTATGACCAGCAATAAAATGCTGGTGCTACCTTCTCCATATAAAGGAAAATAAGGTCAAAACGGTTGGACTGTAAATTAATGCTGCGTTCCCCTGCTATCATCAGATAACAGAGGTTTAGGTTTTCTAGCTGGATGCAAGTAAGTCAGAGCTAAACCGCAAACTTTCAAAATGGCTATGTGTGATCAGCCTCAAGCAGATATGTGGTCATTCACTACTGTTTTTTTCAGACACTTTAAGAAGAAGTAACTTTCCACGGTGTGGGCAGCCAGGATGTGTTATCCACACTCACAATTCCGTCAGCACTCAAGTTCATTCAGAAAATTATCAACCTTTTAAATTTTCGCCCTCTAATTTTTTTTCATTTCTGTCGATCAATATTCCCACACCATCTTTAATTTCCTCCAGTCCTGCATCTTTTGATAATTATGTTAGGTCATGGAACAGCATCCCTGGTTCCTTACAACCTCTGTCAAAACTACTCATTGGAGCCCTCAGTGTTCTTGCCACCCGGCAAATTGACCGGCATTCTTTACCAATCAAAACTGACACGTCTGGCACTATGAATATATACTGTGTTTGTGAGACACGAATACGTGAGCCATTTGTGACTACTCCTTGAACCCCACTCTGCCAATATGGTGAATCTTTAAAATGTAACCTTGGATTTTCTTAAGATCCAGTGGTTAGTTCTCCTAGTCTTGCAGATGAAGGTGCAGCATTGGGTGCTAAGGTGGAATGTGCACTACAAGACTGAATCCTGGTTGACGGTTTCTCATGTTTTCTTTGACATGGTGATGAGGTAGGGATAGTAAAGATAGTGACGCTTGTCGTTTTCTCCTTGCAATCTTCCTTAACGCATCGACTGATTGGAGGTTGAATAAAGTGGAGTATGAAGTCTTCCAAAAGGTGTTTAGGCTCCTAGTTATAGGTAAACGTCCGGATTCGGTTGTCGTAGCAGGTGATTTCAATAAACAAGTGGGCAGTGCAAGTCAGGCAGAAAAGCATTTAAGCGGCACTTTTGGAATCCCAGCTGAATGAGCAGATAGCGGTGGTCACCTGCTACGACTGGGCTCTGAAAACCATCTTTTTCCTACCAATATGAGACCTAGACGTAAGAAAAGACGGTGCCTGACATGGCGTTCACTGACCTTAACTCACCAGTGCACACAAACAGACCATAGTACTTTTTTGTTGCAAGATGGGGTCCGGAGAAGATTGTCACTTCTTCTTGATTACGCCTTGAGAAGGATATCACGCGTTCTTTCACAAAAGTATATGCTTGCGGTTGGGTGTATTTGGAAAAACCATTACTGTAATACCGTTTAGAGTACATTCTAACGGTAAACATGCGTGGTTTCAAAGGAGGCACTTGCAAGAGAGTTCTCAAAACAGGACGTCTCATCTCTTAGGAGCCAGCTGCTACCTTAGATTTGTTACGGGAACAGGTTCAAAGGTGGTAACCAATCTTTATAAGAGGCTTAAAGTGGGTCAGTAGACCTCAGTAGTTTTTCCTAGTTAGTGGATGAACTCGAGCTCTGAAACTACAGGCTTCAAGCACAGTTATTAGTAGGAACAGCAGAAATGAAGTTTAACATTGAATGTACACAATGAACATGAATACTGTCGGGTAACGGATGTTAAAGAGATGAAGAAAGGAGAGGGGATTATTAAAGGTAGGCAGTTAGTTGGAATTATCAAGGAAACTGGGAAGAAGACGTCGATGGGCTATAAGGTTTGATTGTCTTGTGCGCCTTGGTCAGTTTACACCGACCTGTCTAACGAATCAGAAGTCCTTGTGGATCTCGAGATTCTATAGCATCTCAAGACACTTCAGCCAAACAACCTACTGTCGCAATTTCGAAGTCTGAACCTCAGACTGTAGCACGGAAAGTGATCAGATTGTTTTGAAAAATGTTGCCGACTGAGAGTATCCCACCGCTTGGGAATAAACTCATTTTTTTACTCATCTTTAAAAAGCAGTCTGCGCAGTGTGTGCGATAATCATCGGGTTATCAGTTTTCTACCGTAACGTCTGGAGTATCGAGTACTATCATCTTTCACAAACTCAGCTAAACGTGTAAGGACCTACCCTGTGAATGTAGGCCAAACTTCGTTTTGATCGTTGATGCATTGATCATGTGTTCGTTCTCTTCAGGATACTTGAGTTCCATCACACTTATTACAGGGTAACAATGGTTGCATTTCTTAGTATTAACGGCGCGTTCAGTCTGTTGAAGGGGATCGTCCTCTAAAATTGTCTGTTAGATGGGCTGTCCCTGAAAAGTTTGTTCACATCTTCAAAGCACTGTACTTCAACATTTAGAGTAGAGTCAAGCCATACAGCCAAGTATTTCCATTGTTCGAAATAGATAATGGGGTTGGGGACAGCTCTCCCATTTCATTATTAATCTTCAGCTTTGCCAATGATGACATTCTTAAGACAGCCCAGATAACGTGTGAGGTAGTGGTAGTGATGAACATGTTAGGATGTGAGACTTAAAGGCCTTGAGTGTGTGAACGATGTTTCACTATGCGATGACAAAGTTTAATGAAATCACACTTAATCAGTTAGTGATCAATGTCCATGAGTATGGTGCATGTTTTGCAGACTGCCTTTACAAGATTGGAAGAAACCTGTTTCTGTGCGCACCATTAATTATCAAACGCCGGAAGTTGTCAAAATGCTTCTGTACTTCTGTAGTTGTGTAAATGTTGCTCGATGTATAGCCGATGAGATTTTCAACCGTATATCGAAAGCCAGAGTGGCAAACGACACTTTGGGTCATCTTCCGTTCCGTCACGATGCTTTCTGTAGAAGGTCAGGCGTACAACGCATCAGTATGGACAGTTTTAATCTACGCCTGTGATTCGTCAGCTCTCTGAGGTGAGGTTGTTCCAACACTGAGTTTTCGACTATCTTCGTCTCTTCAGGATTGCTGGCATCATCTGTTATAAATACCATCCAGGCAATTCTGAGACAAAGTTGCCTGTGTTTGGATGTGGTTGTCACACCCCTTGTTGTTATCTTACCTTAAGACTGGTTTTAAGAAGCTAAGAGCTGGCCAGTGTATTGTATGGCATCGAGAGATGAGGGATACTTCTGTTTGGTTAGGGTCCATAGGCGCCTCACGACTCCATGGATAGGATCCGAGGAGTTATACGACTCAGTAGCTTGAGGAAGTTGCAAACATGACTCGGAGTTAAAACCAGTGTGGGATCATACTGCAGATATCTTGTTTCTTCTGAAAAATAAAACAAAAGTAGTGACACTGCTTTTTTTAATAAATCGATTCCGTTTTCATTTCCTTCCTCTTTTTTGTCTTTTGTCCTAATAAAGGTGTTTTATTATTCTCTTCAGCTCATCTCTTGGGGCTCATGTTTTACCACGTTTGTGCTCTAACAGTAACAGGAATTTAGTAGTGACAAAAAAAAACTATCCAAGGGCGAAAGTTAGTAGATATGAAAAAAACGGAACTGCCATCGCAAATGGTCAGAAACCAGAAATAACAACAATTAAATAGAACAGTCAGTGATGAACTAGGTAAAATATTTCTTGTTCGATCTTCAAATAAAAAGTAGTTAGTCGAGCTGAAACTGATGGTTAACCACCGGCCGGTAAAATTCTGCAAATATATGTCAGACTGTGGTTGTTTTCATGACATGTGGGGTAATCATCTAAATTTATCTTTCAGTGAACATCTAGTGAGACATTAGTGGCTGTTGGATCAAATCGTACACAGTAACTCGGCTTGTCCTTTATAGCAATCTAAAAAATACATACTCATAACAACCTGTGAAAATTGGATTTCAATTGGATTACATTGATAAATGGGTGTAAACAACAGCACTAACTGATAGGCTGAAATTCATAAACAATTCAGATACAACTTTTGTCTTATTATCTGCTGTTATTACTTTATTCATATTGATTTTTTAAAATGACAGTCCGTTTCTTTATGAAGTTGCAATTTTTCTTATGGAGTTATGTCGAAGTGACAGTTGAAAGTAAGAGTTATTATGTTGGAAGTTCTATTTAGAAAAAGACTATTAAGAGACTTCCTTTTACAAATGAGTTAAATTATGGCTACAGTATGCGTGGTTTGGAATACATTGATTTGATTGGCGTACACAAAGTTTCAATTTCGAAGAAAGAAGCTAGAAAATATAGTTTGTTTAAGTTTCGAAGATGCATTTGTCTTCATTAGTCTACGCTAGAGGTTAATCATCTAGTATCGACTTAGAATTTATCATTACTGTGTGTCCTGGTTCAACTTACTAAGCCCCAAGATACAGGTTAAAAAAGAAAGGGAAAGAATAACATAAAATTCATGGAAAGGCATAATGCAAAAATAAGTAGGGTTAAGACACACACTGAAATATACTGAAACAGTCGAAATGAAGACAAGACATGGATGCATGTTTATCACCTTGATCGATTGAGAGACAAATCACATTCGAAAAGCCTCTTTAAAGACCGAAGTTTCTTCAAGTCCTCCAACTGTGTTATTTTCCTCTTCATATTGACTCTCTGTGCCAGTGTCCTCAAATCGTGTGTCTGTAGCATGTTATTTTATGGCTCTCTCTGTCTATCTGTCCATTTTAACCAAAAATATTTACTCTGTCCGAAGTCCATTTATTTCAAAAGGTGTCGATACGTTTTGCATTGATCTGTAAAACCGCTGATAACATGAAAGAGGAAAAAGATCTGATAAATTAACGCTTCATGAATGGTGGCACGTTCACAGAAACATTATCACTTGTTATTTGTTTGGCGGTGGCTAGCAGTGGAACCTAGGACGCGCGTTACTTCGTGTTTAGGACCATTAGCTGAATTTACCTGCATCCCAGTGTGTGATGTTCTTCTTCTTAAGACCCGAACCGTATACTTACCCCTTCAAATGTCAGAATGCTATCCACTAAGCTACGGAGTCACCAGTTTCTCGTTCATCACAATACTGGATCTTATTGATCGGCCACTCTTGACATATGGGTTTCTTTAATGGGCGTCTCACTATTGTCTAAAGTTTCATTTTGGTGTTGTTTAGTTATTGGTAGCTAGCAATGGAATCCGGAATGAGCGTTTCATTCTACTTGGGATTCATCAACTGGATATACCTGCATCATTTGTGCCGTAAAAAATTTCAGGAGTTCAGTAGAAAATAACTGATTACTTTCCGTATATTTTCAAACATCTTGCAGCCTAAAATAACCTTAAGTTTTTAGGCCAGAAATTTACTTTTAATCATTATTTTTTGCCTGAAGTTGTTTATATTTAGAAGTAAAAGTTTTCCGAGTTAACCGAATAACATGTATCTTCTATGTATGATAGACAACCTTCTATAAGGAGATCTATTCAAGGTGTAAAAAACTGAATATCGAGGTTACATTTAAGGAATGATATGACGTTTCAGGAGTCTCAAAATCACATATACGATTATAAGAAAGTTGTAAGTAATTCCATTTTAGTTTGTTTATTATAAATGTTATACAGTGAAATAGTATCATTTAGTGGATGAAGAAGTTTCGGACATAATTTATTATTGATATACATATCATAAATTATATCCGAAACCTCGTTATCCAGTAAATGATACTATTTCATTGTGTGACATTTCTAATAAACAAGCTAAAATGGAATAACAATCTACTATAGTGCCCAAATCTTACTCCTATATTAATTGTAAGTAATCGTAACAAAAATAATATGGGCAAAGTACTGAATATAATTAGAAAGCTGAAGAAGTTAGTGGATGTTTTGCGTGAAATGTAATTTTTTTATATAGTCAGATATGGGAAGGGAATTAGCCTAACATGTACAGTTAACAAAAATCCTATTGATTATTCAGTAGGCATAAGTCAAATGAATGAATGGTTCATGCTTATATACGGAGTCTATGAATGTTCACACTGTATTGTTCTCGGAGCAATTTCACTTTATGACAAATTAAATTTACTTTGAACTGTTCACCAACCAAAAATTCACCTTATGGAACACTTCAGTTTGATCATTAACATCTTTATTTGGAGGTATTTTATCTCACGATTTTCACAAAGAGACCTTAATTTGTCTTAATAAAAATAAAATTATTGGTAAAGCATATTTACTCAATGTTTAAAGTGGTTGCTATTTTGAGTTAAGTAACGTATTTGCCGGTTGGTCACATAAATTGAGAAGGATCTGGGTACATACTACCAATTTCAAATTCATTTGTGATAAAAACCTTTTAAAGTACAGACTATAAAAGCTTGTTTTCTGTTGGATATGATATCAGTTTAAAAAAATGGCTTAATAAATTAAGACTCATGGATAAAAACATCATATTATATTAGTTAATCCAAGCAGCAGTCTACGCTCTCTACTGAAGATCAGATGGCCAAAAAGAATAAGCAACAAGGAACTCACTGTGGCCTGGCAACGAACTAATTAAGAAGCTATTGCTGAACAAATATGCAGAAGGAAGTGGAAATGGATTGGGGATACACTGAGAAGGCCGACTGGGGACATCACGCATCAGTTCCTTGAGTGGAAGCCAGATGGGAAGCGACGAGTCGGATGTCCAAGGATGACATGGAGGAGATCATGAAAGGTGGAAATGAGAGCTTGTTGGCTGTCATGGAGCCAGGTTGAGAAGATTGCAGAGAAGAGAGTGGAATGGAGACATGCTACTGAAGCCCTATTTTCCATTAAGAACCCAAGGGACAAATAATAAAATAATAATAATAATAATAATAACAAAAATGCAAGCAGCAACACGAATACACAAACACACACACATTAGAATGAGTATATAAGTAGGAATGCAACCTCTTTACTGATTGAACATTTCTTAGTTTAAAATGTTTCTGAAATTCGGTATTAATGTGGTCGTCATAGTACTGGATAATGAAAAGAAATTAGTAAAATGTTGTGTTCAACCTGAATGTTATACTTCCTAAAAGTTATTGGTTTTGATAGTCAAATAAATCAGTTGATAAAAGCACTCAAAAACCATTTAATCAGAAATAAATTAATATAAAAATAACCAGAAGTGTATAAAGGAAGGGAGAATAAACAAACAAAGTTTAGTAATAACTTTTAAAGTTTGAAGACTCTAGAAAGTAAGTACATTACCAGTGTGATTGAATTTATTCTTCTCACTAAAAGTTTTCAATCACCGGTTAACAAAATGTAGAGGATATTGATCGAACAGTCCACATCTCACTACACAATTCAGACTAATAAAGACTATATTTAGTAGGTCCACGATATGATCTGATCACCCTTATCTTTCTTTCAATCGTGTCATACTTAAATTAAGACTGTACGTTGAAACACATAAGGGTTTTGGTATGCGTAACACATGTTCCAGGTAATTCGATGGTTGAAACTTCATGATTTTGCTGAGATGATGTTTGAGAGATCACACTCTGTCATGACCATTATCAAATTTCTTCATATTCACCTGATAAATGCTCTTTTGCTACCTTTCACTATACAATGAAAAATAAAGCAAAAAAATGTTATTGTTACTTAACACAATGATCACATCGTACAGTTTGGAAGTGACAGCATTTTAGTGATAATTATACTGCAGTTTATGAGTATTACTTTTGATATCCTGTTTTATTTTTCACTTGTTTTATTAAGCTAAAATATCAGTTCCTACTGGCAACAGTAGTAATAATCATTGGTGTCTATATCCTTTTTTTCTTAAACTTCATCTAGTCGCTTGTTTTGTGGTGATCACAATATACATGGGGGTAATGAGCAAAGATCGTGAATGGTTACCAAGACCTGACTTGAATATGCTGTCTTGGAGTTTCGCATTTGCAGTGTTGGCGGGATTCTTTACTACCTTCTGTCTTTTTGGATTAGTAACACACTATTTATCGGTGGAAAGTAAGCAATTAATGCAAGATCCTATATTACGACAAAAGTTATTGGGAAGTGCAGGATATTATCGATCTCAAAAACTTGTTTCACACTACGATAAAGTCGGTGCAGCTACTGAGTCCAAATTAGATGGTGCTGGTACAGTCCCTTCTCTCTTCACTACAGTGCCATCGACCTTTGCTGGTCAACAGCCTGGATCACAAATCGGCCCCACTAGTACTCTAATGGCTCCTGGAATGTCAAGTATTCTAAGCAGAAATACAATTGCTCCAGGAGCTGTAGGAGGGAATGCAGCGGGAACATCTGCAGCCACTGTTTCTGCCAAACTAAGGGAATCATTAGAAGCACAAAGGATTGCTGTTTTGGAGGCAAATTTACGTGCAGCTGAGAACGAGCCAGCTCAAAAAACAGAAAATATCTACGGTCCAACTTCAGCACAATCTTTATATACCCCAAATATAAGAAATGAAACAAGATATGATGGAACGATGTCCAGACAAGGAGGACCTCTTGGATCTATGACTCATTTACAATCAAACGTTAATATGGATTCAGCAGTGTAGTTCAAATTTCAATCTATTATAAATTTTCGATCGATTTTTAATTTATTTGTACATTGGCAGCCTGAAATTAAATTTATCGTTTATAAGCCGTTTTCACTCTAAGAAAGCGATCATTTTTCATTCCAGAGGTTTGTGGGGGTTTATTTACTGATTTCAGGTTGATATTCTTCATGGACTGATATCAGTTGAAGAATCACTGGAAGCCTTGGGGCAAAGGATAGCTGTTTCGTCCGGGCATGGGACTCCTCAGCAGTGCTCACCCATGATTTCACCAGGGATCGAACCCCAGGCCTTCACTCTCCAGATGTGATTCCTGAAATTCTGATGAGAAGTCGTGACCGGTGGGGCTAACCAAATCGAACGTGAGGACGATAACTCAAAAAAAGTACTGGGTGGAGGTCACGTTACATTGTAAACTGCCAGAAGCAGGAAATATAAACCATGGGATGCCAACCCAGCGGCTCAGTGGTAATGTGGTGGCTGTGGGACCTGAAGGTCTTTAGTTCGATCCCTAGTGTGGGGGTTTCATGTTTGCACACTGCTGAGTCGCATATTAGGAAGAAACAGCTGCCCAATTCTCCTAGGTTTGGGATAGTTCTCCAGAAATCATTTTCATTCTATAGGTTAGATGCTATTAGGTTAAAAGTTTCACTATTATCTAATGTAGTACGTTTCCAGCAGTAGAAGTGGTTTGTACTGAAGGTAAAGGTGTGACCAACTAGCTTCTGGACTTGACTTTTAGTTAGTGGACCACAATTTCTTTACTGTTTTTACCTGTCAAGAATTAGGCAACTTGGTAACTCCTATCATTGTGTTTCAGCAGCAGTAATTTGACGAGAATGAATACTGAGTTTAAAGGAGTTGATGACTGTTGTGTACAATATTATCATGGTGACTGAAGTGTCACTGTCTGATCCATGTATGTAGTACAATAATGATTTGATCCCTTAAAAACGATTCGTGACAAATGTAGCTTATGCGTTTGGGATATTAAAAGCCAATCACCATAAGTTTAGGGTAACACTGTTTTTTTAAACTATCAACATATTGTTACGTTGATTTTGGTGACTAGCACTGAAATCTAGGACATGTGTTTCTTTCGATATGCGACTCGTCAGTTGGAAGTACCTGCACCCTAATGAGTGATTTCGTTCCCACTAAAACTCGAACTCATTACATTTATCTTGAAGCAGAGTCATGCAATTAGGGGTACTTGTATTTGACACCTTAAGTTTCGAAATCAGAGGCATAGCAGCGAAGTTTTTCGGGATGTCCTATCAAGTGCATTGTCTTCGGAATCTAACAACAATTCGAACGGATTTTTATCATGAATAAACACCAAGTACAGTCGTTTAAGACCACTATTAAGTGAATATAGTTTATTTGCATTGAAAAGAACGTATCCAGATGAAAGTTAATGGCAGCCCGAATAACTCAGTGGTATTGTCTCTGACTACAGCACGAAGTAATGCAGGTCTGAATCTTTCAAGCGACATCAAATACTTCAAGATTGCATATACGTCTTGCTGTCGAGTGCCGAAATGTTTGAAACTTAGTCCGAGTGGGGTGTGTAGTTAACTGCCTGTGACCACTTAACATGAACCAAATTTCACTACGTGAGCAAACATCCTGGCCTGAAGCCATTTAAAAATGGTTGGTAGGACTCGCTAAGCAATTACTACCGGACAAAGTTAAATAAGCTAATCAATGTAAGGGAACCACATTCATCTTTCCATCTTATTTTCGTGGGATTTGAGATAAATTTCCCGTAACTTGCAATGTTGAACACCAGAGTGTAAGGATTCCTGCCTAATAACTACGTTAAATTGTGATCACCTTGTAAAGCAATAAAGGTTGAGATATTGACCAATAGACTTCAACTCGATGGTAAGGTGGTGAGGTGATAAGAATGACAAGCACTAGTTAAGAGTCAAAATTTTCGACGATGTAGCTATTGACTACTTACTAGTTTTAATTGGTCTTACTAATTTGGTGTAGAGGTAAAAGTTTTCTTGAAATAAGCATATGTGTTTGTAACAAGGAGTAAAAACAAATCCTTGAACAATATAAGTAATGTAGACACTTGTACTTTTGCTGCCTCCACTTGTGCCAAAAACAGTTGCATAGGAGTGGATTAAATGAATGCTAATCACCAGTGTTGGAATATATGGCAGACTGCTTAAAGGTCTGTTCACTTTGATACATTTAAACAAAACACATTTACTCTTGTAGTTGCAGAGTTTAATTCTTACGCTTTCTATCCATTTAGCTCTCTTCAAAGTGTGCGGGTAATGAATTTGTGAATCAGTTATTATCGAATAAAGTGATACATTCTAAACGAATTAAACTTTTATGGAGACTGATGGGATTATGTCCATAGCCAAATGGATAGCTGCTTTCTTAGCTTAAATATATAATGTATCTAAATGTCTTAAATCCTTAAATCCATCTCACAGCTCAGGCCTTCATGGTGTTTTGAGTATTATATTTAAAAAATGTGCAAATGTTTTATATCATCCTCTTGCAGATATCTTCAATGCATCGTTTTCTAAAAACGCAATACCCGCTACTTGGAAAGATATCAAAGTTGTACCCGTGCCTAAGTTATCTTCTGGGTCAGATGATGAGTTTCGACCTGTCACTATAACTTCCACTTTTAGAAGATAATGGAGAAATCACTTCTCCTTTTGCTTGAACTTTCATTGAAGATTTTCAGACATCCAAAACAATTTACTTCCAAACTCAGGAGAATTACTTTAGATGCTGTCACTTTCATGCATTGTAATATTGTTTTTATTTTAGCCAAAGGTGTTAAGTATGTTCGTTGTGTCTTTTTGGATCACTCATTACCCTCTGACTCTGTCCTTAGACCACTCTTGCTGAATAAGATTTCCATAGCTTATACTGGGTCATGAGTTACGAAGCGACTGTATTCTTATTTTTATGAAAGGAAACAGCATACTGTCTGTAAAGGGAAGAGCCCCACTTCATTGAATACTGAAGCTGGTGAGCTGCAAGATACGGTACTTCCTCCGTTTCTGTTCTTGTTATTTTTGGATGAGTTATCTTATTTTGTTGGAACTAATTTTACTTAATATGCTGATGACCTGTTGGCTTCTTTCCTAGTTAATCCTCACTTAGATTGCTATGGAATAAATAGATTCTTGTCTGTAACTGACCTGTGGTCTCTCTCGAATGGCCTCAAGTTAAACCCTTCTAACTGTTAGACTGTTAATTTTAGCCTCAGATCTGTGTGAGTTACCAAAGTCCCATGACTCCTGTTGCATTGACAGTATTTCTGCAGAAAGCAAATCGAGTGTTAACTATCTTGGATTGGATTTTACTTATGATCTTTTCTAGTCGTCTCATAACTTGTCGACTTGTAAAAATTCTCTCGTTTAACGTATTACATAAAGAAACTGAGGCTGTCCGGCATAACTCAACCTCTAATTTTGCAATTTATTAATTCTTGCATTTTACCTATTCTTCTCTATTGTTCCCCGCTGATCTTTCCTCGTCGACTAAAAAAGGGACTGTTATATTGTGTGGGGTTTTGACAGCCGTCAGTAGGGTAAGTGCTGTGCCCCTAAACCAACTAATTAACACTCTAGTCGACAGAAATTTAAATTCTAGCACGCGATTAACTACAATAATTTTAATCAACACTGAGTATCTACTTCATTCACAGCTTTCTCCGTGTATGTCCTCAGGGAGGACAAGAAGAAATTACGTCAGATGAGGCATGTGGCATCTTCATATAGCTGTTGAATGAGGTTGATAAAGATTTGTGGCACTTCGTAGTGTTGAAGCAATCGCCAAATTACTTGTCGGTCGACGCTGTCAAAGGCTTTTTCAAAGTCGATGAAGTTGAGGTAGAGGGTTGACTGTCATTCTATACTCCGTTCTTCTTCCAGTTAATTGGCAGGTACCTTTCCTTCCAAACCTTCTGCAGTAATGGTGTGAACATGTCCACTGTTGTCTCTGCATCTGTTTTCAGTGCTTATGGAGGAATTTCATCTGGTCCTGCTGCTTTCCTGGGTTTCAGCAGTTTCACGGCATTCAGGATTTCTGCTTTTGTCGGAGGGCCTGTGTTCACTGGTAGTTCTGCCGTTGTTGGTGGTATTTCCGCACGAGTTGCAAGTGATGGTCGATTCAAGAGTTTTTGGAAGTAGTCAGTCTATTGTTTTCTTTGTTTCTTCTCTTTAATAACTAGCTTTCCTTCACTATCTTTTATTGATTTCATCTGTGTTGATCTCTTCCCTCGCAGATAGTAACCTGGTTATTTGATACAAAGTTTTCAGGTCTCTGTCTCTCCTAACAGCAGCCTGTTCTGCTTTGTTTGCCAGTGTGTTGTAGAAGTGTCTTTTGTCTTTGCATGCACTCTTCTTCACTTCTTTGTCCGGTGTTCTATACGTTGTACTCAGTTCTTGTTTTCGTTGTGGATCTTTGCACTGGTCCATCTTATGCTTCACCATATTCTTCTCCCTCCTCTATCAGCTTCCATATGTCTGTTCAGTTCCATTCCTTGTCTTGTTTCCTTTTTCTTCCTAGTACGGTTATGCAGATTTATTTCCACACAGCTTTCTAAGAGTTCCAGCGTTCTCCTACCCAGGTTCCTTCAGCGATGTTGCTCAATGTCTCCTATTTTGTTCTGATGGCTGACGTAAAGATGTGATTTGTAGCTTCATCCTTCAGTTCAGTTTCTGTTCTGGGTGTTGAACTTGAACTGTGGTCTATCACCAGCTTCCTTGAAGGCTTTCAACTTGATTTTGAAGGTAGGTTCCTTGCACTAGACAGCGAGTGCTGTGAACCTACATCTGCTCCTCTTCTTCACCTTGTGTCCAGTAGGCTGTGTCTCCACTTTCTTCACATTGAGATGAAGTCGACCTGATTTTTAGTGTCTCCTGGTGCCTGGGAAAATCAAATCCATGTCGCTCGCTTTGTGAATATCCTTGTGTTTGTACAACTGCCTCCAATCATCAAGTCATTGAATGCGCAGAAATCTGCAAACAGTTCTCCATTCTCATTCATCATTTCACTGAGTGATTCTCAACCCATGATTTCTCTGCCTGTGTTGTTCCCTCCCAGTTTGGCATTCATGTCATC